TTCAAAACTTTACTCGGTAACGAATTCTTCAAAAGGGTAAAATCTAGTGATCTGTACTTCGCGCTGACTTGAAAAAGGCAGGTGAGGTTGGTTATTATCAAAAGATATATTTTGATTATTAAAAAAAAAAACAGAAATACTTGCAGACTAAAATAAAGGCGCAAATCCTCTTAAATGACAAATCTTTTATTGCTCAATTATTGATTCCAATTTTAGAAAGCTATAAGCATGAAAATGTTGTGGTGTTGGCTATCGCTTTTGGATTATATCTAGAGTAAAAATACCTTGGGTGACCTTGTAACCCTCAAAAAGTGTGCTCAAGTAGCTTGATGCGATGTTGTTTAAATTACTACTACTGTGTTTTAAAACGGCTACTTATTTAGTTGATCCGGTATGGCTGATGTCTGAAATACTGGAGGGAGTTTTCTTCAAATTTAAATTTTAAATTTAGTCTCATGTCACCAGAAAACTCAATATCTTAAATATGAAATGGCTTTTCAGAGAACAAAAATTGCTTAACTAGTGACCTAGCAAGCGTTAAGGCTCCTCCTAAACTCAGAACTTAATGCGTGAATATTACAGAATTTCTTCTTGCGAGAAAGCCTTCAGACATGCGAAATAGCACAGAGTCAGTTGTGTTTTCAAGATCATGACAGTTGAACAAATTATTTTAAAACATCGACTGGTGCAATTAAAAAGTTTAAGAAGTGAGTGGCAATACAAGTTATGTATTACTTAATTTTACTAACTATAGACTGCCTAAGAAAGTTAATATATGTGGACACTTTGCGCCATAAAATATTGCTAATTTGTTCTACAGGGACATGAATTTAAGTCAGCTAATTCGCTTACAGCTGCTCGTAACAAACCACCGAATGTAATTACAATAATGACCTGTCTTAACCTACAAAATGTAAGCCCTTTACTAGCGCATTATTAAGGATATTTGAACAAAAAATAATAAACCAGGTGTTTTTAGCTAATGGAAAACTTTCTTAGCTGTGTAGCCACAAATTTATGCTGTTTTTTTCTAAAATAAAATGAAATACGACAAAATTAGATCCACCAGGGATCAATTCCCATTGTATTCCAACTCACTCAAGGTTAACTTTTAAATTGCACTCAGATAACGGCAAGCAAAGTCAGGTGGAAATGGTGTGCCCATTCTAAACGCGAGATCCTTAAAGTGCTCATGCTAAGGCAGTTACTGAATCCTCAAAATGCAAAAAGAACGACTATTACAACGGCACTAAAAAACTGTTATCGGCTATCCTACAATTATTATCCAAAAAATGATTTTAAGCTATTCCCTGCAATTCGAGCCCGAAAACATTAACTATGTGCCTATCCTTAAATTATCATTTTTACGCAGTTACAGGTAATGAAGTAGCTGCTGCAGAATCATGGAATATGTATCGCCGATTCTCATTGACAATCAAGACCTGAACGTCCATAGAAATGAATACGCTCTTGAGAAAGTAATCTTGTAAATTATAATGCCAAACAATCGGTTGTGCTACTCGCAATGATGGTCACTTGGCCCTCCAGAAGTCGAAACATTTGGCTGGCATTTGATAGAAACTAAATCTTAATACTGAAAGAATTAATTTATAAGCAGTTTGAAGTATTGAAGCTTTTGTTATGAAGAACATTTGATTTTGTTGTCAATATTAAGTCCAGGGAGCATTAAATTCCCCTAATCTGCTAAATAAGTAAATGGACAGAACTGATTAAGTACTAATTGTGCATAATAAAGAATAATACTAGATATTAATTTTTGGATGTAGTAGATTTTACCAGATTTTATCAAGAAAATTGTTTCCATTCCGAAATAGAATATACTGCAAATACATATGTTCACATATATAAAGGCTTAAAAAGTCATCAGTTATCTATATGGTGTCTATTTTGAAATGCCAATGACTCGGGCTAAAATCAGTAATCGGAACATATTTTGCTTGCACACTGCTGAAAAAGAATGAACCAAGATATCTGATGACAGATCTCAAAGAACTTCCCTTCATATAATACATAAATAGACAATATACATTTTTCAAAATTTTGACATGATCAATTTATAAGAATAAATATAGCTGAGAGCTAAAGTTAGAATAATTTTAAGTACAGAAAACCATTATACATATTATGCAATCCATTGTGA